AACTTTCCCTTCACACTTGCAACCGGTCCATAGAGCCAAGTCATGTCTTGATCTTCTTCACCTTGATCACATGATCAATGTCATGTCTCTCGTGCAATGAGGTCCTTCATCACATGTGTGATCTTTGTGACATCTCCGAGCCATTTCACCTCTATGGCATATGTTGCTCACACACATGTACTTATGGACTAATCACATGTGTTTCTCATTCAAACACAATTAGTCCACCTAAGGTTGTCACTCAATTACCAAAACCAAACAAGGACCTTTCACCATGGCTAGCGGGGACTAGGTTGGTCGTGGCCCCATGACCCGTGAGGATGAGAGCGGCCATAAGACACATGGCCGACGAGGATAGGGGCAATCGTGGCCAGCATAGTCGCATAAGGTGCCTGTGGTAGCCCATGGTCATGGCAGCCTGGGAGAAGACAGTTATTTGCAACAAAGTCTTACATGAATGTTGTAAGTATTTGCTTAATCTGTGTGTATTGACCTTCTTAGAGACAACACCTATGAACAATCTATTAGAAAAAGGAGATCAACGGCTAGGATCCGAATGACTAATGGATCAAAAAATACATCATCTTCTTTCTTATCCCTCGAACCAAACACATGATAGGAATAACTCTGTTCTCTCAAGCAAAGGAAATCCTTGATCTTCCTTAAAAATTAGGATAGAACCATCCTGCTCCACCTCGTCCTGAAACCAAGATTTTGATAGTGATCACGTGCTTTGTTTTTTTTTGACACAAAAAACTATGGGGGAGATCCCCACAGTGCCTTTTTGATTTCATTTATAAAAGAGGGAGTACAGGTATAGATACATACTTACAAAGCTTAACTAAAGGCATCTAGCCAAGCACAAAAGGATGACCTAAGATCATCTTTGAATCTTACAGATTGTATTAAACATTGACTCTTGAAGTTTGACCACCAAAGTGCTAATGTTGGGTCACGTCTTGCAAACACTTTATCATTTCAGACTTTCTAGAGCTCCCATGCTGCTATGAGCGTGGCTTCAGTGAAGAATGGTAACTGGTGGGCAGATCTTGCTTGAATGAATCTGTCCAGGGGATTCAGAGAGAGGTCCCAATTGATTTCAAGCTTAGACCAGCAGTCCTGTGTAAAAGAACATTCAAAAAATAGGTGCTCTATGGTCTCTAGACTCCCTGCTGCGCACATGACACATGTCGCGGTCCCCTGAATGTTTAGATGCCTCCTCTGGAGCATATCTTTGGTGTTAAGACGATCAACCAAAATTAACCATGCAAAGAACTTAACTCGTGGGCTGCATTTGCATTTCCATATTATTTTGAAAATAGGGTGTGCATCTAGTTCCTTGAAGGCATATGAATAGAACCTTTTGGAGCTATATTTGTCACCCCAGATGGGTGACCAATTGTCGACGCCCTCCTCATCATATTCCATAATCTGCAATTCCTCTTGCAAACTCACAAATTCAGCATAGGCTTCATTGGAGAAAGGTAGCATGAAGAGTGAGTCTAAGTCCTCTGCTTGCATGACCGCATAAACTGAGATTTCCTCTGATTTTGCAAAGGATGCAAGTCTTGGGTATTTTGTTGCAATGATCTGATCATTCATCCAAATATCTCCCCAGAAACAAACTGATTGACCATTGTCAATTGTGCATTTAGCAATGCCTCTCAACAACAACAGGTTCAACCTCAATATATCCTTCCACCAAAAAAAAGATCCAACCTCCCTGGCTGCATGAGGAACTCGATTTGTATAGTACCTGGTCCATACCATTCTTACCCATGGAAGATCAGCCCTGTTATAGAACTTGCTTAGATGTTTCATAAGCAATGCATCATTATGCAGCCTAAGATTTATGATGCCTAGTCCTCCTTTTTCCTTTGACAACATTACAATTTCCCATGCAACTAAGTTCCCACCTTTCTTCTTTTCAGAATTCCCTCTCTAAAGACACTGTTTCCTTGCCCTGTCAATATTCTCAATCACTCCTTGTGGTAGTTTGATGGTGCTCATTGCATAGGTGGTGATAGGTGTAATGGCTGAATTCACCATTTCAAGTCTCCCACTATGTGACAACCAAGTAGAGCAGGCTGATAATCTTCTTTCCACCCTATCCATCATAGGAGCTAGGTCCTCAATTTTTGGCTTAGTAGTCCCCATGGGCAAACCAAGATATGTGAAGGACATTGATCCAATATCACACCCAAAAGTGTTTGCAAGGAGGACCATCTTCTCTGGAGTGACATTGATAGGGTACATTTGGGATTTTCTATAGTTCACCTTTAAACCTATCGATTCAGCAAAGCTATGGAGTATGGCTTTGAGAAAAATAGTTGCCTAGCATCAGCTTGTAGCAGCAGCAAAGTGTCATCAGCATATTGCGCTATAGGAAAATCTTCTTCTGGTTGTGGTAAGGGCTTACATAGCAGGTTCAGGTTGTAGGCATGGTTGACAATGATCTGAAGAAGTTCAGCAGCCAGCACAAATAACAATGGTGACAAAGGGTCACCCTGTCGAACCCCTCTCTTACATTTATAGAATTTACCAGGGATGCCATTTAGAAGCACAGCTAAAGAGCCAGATGATAGTATATTGTGCACCCACTGAATCCATTTATCAGGCAATCCTAGGTGAGTCATCGTCTGAATGATAGTGGAGTGTTCAATTGTATCAAATGCCTTCTCAAAATCTAACTTCAATATTATTATCTCTCTTTTTGACTGGTGGCACTGGTGAATATATTCATAACTCCATGCCAGACAATCCTGTATGGTTCTTGATCTGATGAACCCATACTGGTTCTGGTGAACTAATCTCAGAATAACTAACTGGAGTCTATTGGCTAATATCTTTGTTATGAGCTTAAGAGAGATATTCATCAATGAAATAGGCCTGAAATCATTCACAGTCTCTGGGCTATCTTTTTTGGGTACCAAGGTGATGTATGATGTATTGATGCTCTCTAGGCTGATGTTGTTGTGATAGAGACCAACGCAATCTGTAGAAATCCTGTTTAATCAATTGACAACATTTTTTTAGAAATAACCCATTGAATCCATCTGGCCCTGGAGCTTTGTCTGGAGGCATACTTTTGACAATTTGGTCAATTTCATCAATCATGAAAGGTGTAACCAAGCTGTCAAGGTCCACAACTGGCTGAATCATTTGTGGGAGGTCAAAAGTCATTGTAGGTGATGTTGTGGTACCCATTCTTTGCCTGAAAGAGACCCATAGAAGACCTGCTTTGCCTGCATGGTCTTGTATCCATGCTCCTTGATCATTTTTTAGCTGCGCTATTGAATTTCTTCTGTAAGATATAGTTGCCATGCCATGGAAAAACTTGGTGCATTCATCCCCAAACTTCATTCTGTTGACTGTATATCTATTGCGCCAGTATATGTTCTAACATTTGAGCCATGTTTTTAACTGAGCTTTGACTGCAATTCTCAGGTTTATTTCAGGATGGTACAGGCCTCTCTGGTCCTCCACTGAATCTAAGGTGTTGATGACTGCATTACAATTGGATATCAAAAGTTGTAGATTGGAAATTTTCTTACTCCACTGTTTCAACCTTGCTCTCAGGCTTTTAAACTTTGATGATATGTTTCTGGCACTGTCCATCAGGAATGCAGAGTTGGCCCAGCAGTCTTGCACTGTTTCAATAAAATCATGTTGTTCTGCCCAATAATTCTCAAAACGAAATATATTAGCTTTAGGTATTTTTGTCCCAATGGAGATTTGACATGGCAAGTGATCAGAGGTTATCTTAGCAAGTGGCAAGACTTCTGTATTTGGATACTCAATAGTCCAATTTGCTGATGTAAGAAACCAGTCTAATTGTTCTAATAATGGGCTATCCTGCATATTACTCCAAGTATATGCTCTACCTTTCAATGGCAACTCCACCAGGCCCAAGTGACCAATTGCGTCATTGAATATGAAGTTGTCGTTGAGATCCCCCCTGATCTGTTCCTGTTGCTAAGTGACCGATAGAAATTGAAATCTCCCAGAAAAATCCAGTTTTCTTCGTCCTCTATGTCCTGATTTCAAAACCACTCAATGAACTCTGATCTAGCCGGTTCATCACAAGGACCATAGACTGTAGTTAGTTTCCAAACTTCATTAGTGTGGGCAGACTGAAACTGCACTGTGATGCCATATTGCCTTTTTTCTAACATGTTACCAGAAAAAATAGAGCTGTTCCACAGCACAAGTAAACCTCCTGATGCTCCAAGTGAAGGAATATAATCAAAATTATCAAACCTTCTCGGTGCAAATTTTCGGATGTACTGCATATCAAAAACCTGTCGCTTTGTTTCTTGTAGACAGATGATAGAACAAGAACTCTCTTCTATTTTATTTCGCACTGCATCCCATTTATCTGATCGATTTATGCCCCGAATGTTCCAGCAAAGAATGCTCCAATCACGTGTATTCATTGATAACAAATTTATGGGGGCAGCTCTCACTGACGTCACTAGGTTCATCAGCACAGGATAGATATGAATCATAGCGAACATGAGCATTGTGATCAGCTTTAACCGAAACCAACACAAAATATAGGCTGTTTCAACACAGGCACATCGATAGCACGATAGGATAATGGACTTGGTTGGAAACAAAAACGATCTTCTGGCCCATAGAAGCTCTAGTGCTCTCCATCCGCTTCTTCCCTTCTTTACTGTTCTTCGTCATCTTCATCGGGAACAAATGGAGGAGGCGCCTATAACAGCGCATCGTCAGTGAGACCGCTAGGGTCAACACCACATTGTATACCCCATCCTCTGAGAATAAGTCGAGATGGGTTTTATCTCCCCTGTGACTTCATCGACTTCTACCACCCAATTCTTGCTCCGCTTAGAGGGCTCTTTATCGATTCTGACCGGGCGAAAACCCTCCTTGTCGGACGAGAGGCGAGTGCTGCGACGCACAAATGTTTGGGTTAGAGGTGTGCGTGGATCAGAGATGGAAACAAGATTTGGGAGGAGCATATCCTTGCGTTTCTAAGGAGCTTGGTTGCCATCAGCCCGGCCCATGCTGCTTTCTGGACCAGGCCTGATTCCCTCAATTTGAATTTCAAGATTAGATGGGCCAGAAGCGCACAAGAAGAGTGTATCAGTCGGGGTGAGATCAGGGATGACAGGAGCTGAACTCTCGGGTAACTCATCCTCAAGCATAACAGGGCTGGCAGGGATAGAGTTCTGAACCCAAATTTGCAGATCCACCTCCTCATGTACAATCCTCATAGCATCAATGGTCAGTGGAGGACCAATCTTGGATGCTGCAAGGGCCAGTGCAATACACCGACACTCCATGAAATAGGGAAAAGCTCTCAACAGTTCCACAGCAGGAGCAGGGCGCCATACTACAACTGCCACACCAGATGCTTCAGGTGGAGGATGGTTCACCCTTCTATTCTGACCACCTAATCTGGTTGCATCTTCATTTTCAACAGGATGTGCAAATCTAGAGGTGTCAATGGTGATAGGCCTGTGCATCTGCTGTTGGCTTCTCGAGCTGCTTGCCCCATCTACAAAAATACCCCTAAGGGTGAACCTCGGAGGTACTGCATTTGAGTTATAAAGCATATCTGTTGCCCTCTGTCTCAGTTCAGTATCACTCGGGAGGCCATTTTTGTGGAGCATGAGCATATTTGCACAACAGGTCTGTGAAGCAACAAAGCGAGCATGATCCTCCATCTGAGTTGAGCTGGCATCACTTGGAGATGAGCTTCCATCATTTGTAGCATTGTTTCCCAAAACATCCTCAGGACAGATGTCGAGGACCTCACCATGCTGAAAATGTGGCGATGAGGGCGGATGTAAATCATCAATAGCTTGTTTCTGTCCTGAGAAAATAGAAGCCGAGTGGTCCGGGAAATCAGCTTGAAAGTCAAGGTCGAGCTGGAGGTCTTTGTCTCTCGGAGGTTTCGGTTGCCAAATGAGATTGGCTCTGCTACGGGATAAGCATATTTTTTTGATGTGACCAAAATTGTGGCAGGCCCAACACCGGAGCATACCAGGACAGTTCGGGCGAGTGTGGCCCATGTTCATGCATCGAGTACAAGGTCCAGAGACGATCTTGAGTTTTGAATGGTCAGCATCGCCTGCAGCGGGGATGTCTCCCTGCCGTTGCATGTCCCGTGGCTGCTCAAAATATGTGATGTCTCCCTGCCGCTGCATGTCCCGTGGCTGTTCAAGATTTGAATACCGATGAACATGATCATGATCTGCATGAAAATTCAACTTGGCATTCCCAAAAACCAGACGATCAGAAGGTTCAGAGACGTTGCATGAAACTTTCACTGTAAAGGCTCCAAACTTGAGATGCCGTGGAGGAGAGCATTTGGGAGAGGACTACTGGACCAGCTGTTTAGCAAAACTAACTTTCTTTTGGGATTTTGAAGCCTTAGCAGCAGCCTTTTTTGAACTACGCGACAGGACCTTTGTCCATTCTTTTTCTTGCTCGATCTCCCAAGCATGCTTCTCACGTTCCCAGTGGGGTGTGCCATTGTTCCAAAGATGAAAATAGATATCAAACATGTTGGTAATGACTCTGCGGAGTTTGTAAACAAAGAAGCCAACATCTTTCGAGAACACCGAGAACCGAAAATGATTGTTGCTTAGGAATTGAACATGAAAGTCCAGAGCTTTGCCACCCAAACAGGATTGCAGTGCCAGAGCAACCGTATCCTCAGTCAGGCGGAACAGGAAACGACGGAATGTGACCAGAAGGAAGAACGAGCCATTGGGAGTGGGATAAGGATGATGTACCGGAGACTTGTAGCTCCGTCGAACCTCATCTTGGAATTCCAGACCAAGATTGAAATCCAAATGAGGAGCCAAATCCGAGGAGGATCCCATGGTTGGTTCACTGCAGTTGACTGAAGCATTTAGCCAAACACTTGGTGTGCAGCGAAAGTGCTCACCATCGCAGAGTTGCCTGATGATAAATGAAAACGCCTGATGGCGAGCACTTCACATCACAGAGGAGATAACATGAGGATGCCGCGGACGGAAGCAGGATTGACGCCGAGGTCGATGGAGTCCTTCCCGGCGGCGGTGGCGAGCACGTGCGACGTGAGCGTCACGAGCAGCTCGTTGAGCATGCACAAAGCGGAGAGTTCTGGGTGGGGATCAGCATGCAGCTCTTCTTTGTTGGCTCCGACTCCAACTCAATGGTGCTGCGGGCGCAGGCGGACAGACGAGACACGAAGGAGTGGTGACCCCAATAGGCCCTGCGACGACCTCGCCTCCTTCACGAATGGCAGAGAGGTGCTTTGTTGTTGATAGTATGTCACCTATGTCTATCACCAAAAGAATATTTGGCCACAATACAAATACACATGGAGAGTTGAAGATAGGAACTTGATGGACATCTTAGCTGTATAAAACTTTTTTTTTTTTAAAAAAACTTAGCTGTATAAAACTTGGCCAACCGAGCTACACACAATCCAGCAACGAACTGTGTTATTGGTTAGCCCACTCACGCTGAACCATGCCATATAAACTTTTGGTGTGGTACATCACTAGTTCACCTCGCTCAAGTGGCCTGAACCATGCCCAATCCGACGTTCCAAATGTGTGGATGTGGCTTTTATTTGCAGATATTCTGAAGACTTAACCTTTTTGATGGAGTATATAATTTTACAGCATGTTGATATACTCCTTGTACTGACCCAAAGTTGTTGCCAACTGTAGTAGCTACGAAATGGAGAGTATGACATCGAATTCAAAGCATCCAAAATACAGTACATTTTTATGATCTGCAGGAGTAATTTTCATAGTCCTAGTAACTAAGGTGGGTGGACAGATTTCCAGCCTCCATAACATCAGACCCTAGAGTTGTAGACCGTAGACCGTAGTACGTGTACACTAATCTCTATAAACGAATCCTACACCAAAAGCGGGCTAACGGATAGGACCACGTCACCCGTTAATCCGCGAGCCGTCGGATCGGGCGAGCAAGCAATCTGATCCGTCCGATTGTGGATCGGTCTGATTCCTCACCCGCTTTATCGTCGACCCGAGCCATCCGAACCTTCGCGGGCCAACCTTTGCCTGTTCCCCTTGCCCCCTGCATCAGGCTTGGGCGCGTGCGCACCCACCCTCAGGCGACGCGACCCACGGCTAAGCCCCGGCGATGGTCGGCCCCTCCTCTCCCTCACCGGCGGGTCCGGAAAGTAGGCACGTGCATGGCGGCTGCGGCCCCTGGCCGGTGCCCCTGACATGACGCGATCGGTGAGACGCGGGACGCCACCGTCGGTGGCCGCGGCGTCCCCCTCCCTCTCTGCCACGGCACGGGCAGTGCGACACGGGCCGCCACCACCGCTGGCCGCGGTCCCCTCGCCAGTGAGCCGCCCCACCGGCCGGAATCGACACTACGAGCCCGTTCCCCTCCTGCTGCTCTGTTCGTGAGATTGAGGAAGAGGGAGGAAAAATGATAAGAAATTCTTTCTCAGGTCTAGATGCAAAATATGTGACTCATGTGAATAGTGCTTATAGTACACAGAGGCTGCAAATTAATTACTTACAACACCAGGGTCCCGGGTGCAAAAATAGTTTTTCCTTTTTCTTTTATACATTTAATTAGCTCAAAGTTTGAAAATTTTATAATAATTCATAGAAAAATTGTAAAAAGGAAAATCCAGTTTTGTTAGACTCCTTATGACTATACCTATGCAATAGATAATTAATCTGAGATGTTTCGCACATCAATGCTAGCTCTATTTTTTGCTAAAATATATGATATTACCACGTTAAAAAATCTTTCTCACACTAAATATATTGGTTTTCGCACCTCTGCAAAAAACAATAAGGTACCTTGTCGAACCTTTCTCAATGCAAAATGAAAAACAAAAGTTTAAACAAAAATGCAATTTCATTTGTTACTAGATATTGCTTTGATTCAACATCTCCTTCGGACCTACATACTTACATGTTTTGAAAGAAAGAAATACCCTTCCATATATTACTAGCCCAACACTAAAATCGTGTAACAACTCACAAACGCTGTAAAGTTGGTTTCCCATACTTAACCCACAATCTCCGTATCCTGGCATTATATTAAAACTTGTGGTTGATTGCTTGGATTATTCAGCATAATTTACTCATAGACAGTGCATCATCAAAATTCACTTCGACGAAGAGCCGAATACAAGACTTCAGGTGCCGCTGAGACTCTTGTAGCCTATAGACTACAGGCTCTTTCGCTACATGAGCTAATCTTCACTAGCTTCCATCGTAACAGGATATGGCTAAATACAGGCAGCGCGTGGTTTCTAGTAGAAAGTGTAGAGCAGAAGCATGACGGAGACGAACGCGGGCTCTCACTCAGAGTCACACGCCATATCCGAGGCAGACGAGCAGCCCTGGACGGTAAGACACGCCGCCGTCTTTCCTACGCGGCCACAGTGCTTTGGGCGCCGCGGCGGCGCTCGCCATCAAGACCCTGCACAGCAGGTGCCTGACACCGCGGCCCTTCCCCTTCCTCGCCCGCCTTGCCGCGGCGCGCGAGTCGCCGCCGCTGCTGTTCTTCACGTGTGCGGTGACCGCGGCGGCGGCGGCGCCACGCAGCGGAGAGAGCGACCTCGCGCGCCTCACTGTTACTGGCGCGCCCGCGCCGTCCCTGCGCACCTTCTCGAGCGCCGCCGCGAACGGGTCGAACCCCCTGTGCTTCCTGCTGCTCCTGCAGCTGGCGCTGGCCGCGGACGAGGTGGCCGTGGGCGACGTCGCGGCCGAGGCCCCCACGGAGTAGGCGGGCCGCTGCAGCCGCGGAGGCAGGCTCAGCGGGAGCAGCGCGCCGGTGCGGAACAGCTCGTCCGCGAACGCCGCCGCCGACACGTCGCTGGTGCACGCGCGCAGCGCCGCCGCACCGCCGCCGTTATGGGTCGTCGTCGGCGTTGTCGTCGTGGCGAACGCGAAGCCATCGTCGTCGCCGAGGAGTGGCAGCGGCGGCACAACCAGCCCGTGGTTGGCGTTGGCGTTGGCGATACTGGTGGCGTCGTAGAGCAGGTAGAGCGGCGCGCTGTGCGGGTAAGGCATGAGCGAGGCCGCGAGGTCTTCCATGTCCGCCGTCGTCCGCGTCCGGCAAGGTGTAGCACGCTTAGCTCGGAGGGAACAACTTTGTTGGCTTCTTGGCGCGGGATGTAAAATGGAACTGGAATTGTTATGAGATGGGTGACTGCTGACTGGTACTATGCCTGTATATATAGGTGTAGCATCAGCAGGAAATGATGGGGCGTGGCCTCGTTTCCGGCCCAAAGAAACTGAGATTTTGACCACAATCCAATCCCTTTGCATTGCAATTTATGCACCCAATGATTGCAATTTGCAACTCTATCTAACCCCAGAGGGCTCTGACCAGGGAATGATGAATACAGCAGTGTACTACCTCTTGCGAGCTACGTACGCGACTTGCTGCTTGGGCAAGCTCTGCTGCCATCTGTTGTGTAGTACACTGTACAGTACAGTACGTGTAAGAATCTAGAGAAATTTCCGCCGGAATGCAATCGTCAAATCCGTGTAGTTAACTTTATCCTGATGGCCAAGGACATGGTTTTACATATAGGGCCTTGTTTAGATTCCAAGCAAGCTCTGCCATCACATCAAATCTGTTGTGTAGTACAAATGTAGATAAAAAATAACTAATTATACGTTTGATTGTAAATTACGAGATCTAGAGAAATTTCCGCCGGAATGCAATCGTCAATAATTGTTAAATACAAAACGAAAGTCTTTATCCTGATTTCCAACCATCATGGTTTTACAAGACCTAGATAAATGATATATATGTCTTGTCAGTGTTCTCTTGCAGGAGCACGCACATTTGCCGGGCTTTGAAGCGAGCGAGAATGGTGGCACTGGCAGGGGGGAATGCAAGGGTTTGTCTGCAGGCCAAGAAATGTGGCTCAAATTCCGGGAAGGGGTGACGTATTCTAATCGGGCGCTTGCGGCAGTCTTATTTTTTTCCGCTTTCAATAATCCGGCTGCCCTTTTCTTTTTCCCTTATATTTTGGCGGCTGCGCAGCATGTCGCCTGCTTCCTTTGAATGAACGCACAGTAGTGTCAGACGTCACCAACACCAAGCAATCAATCGTGTGATGATCACTGCCTAGGCCCTAGGAAGAAATTCTATGGGTCTCATCGTCAGCCTTTAAGAAGGCCTTCTTCATTTCGGTTTCAGTTTGGGATTATGATCTGTCAGAATGTCACTTTTACTACCCCAAACTGAAACAAAACCATGTCCTAAGGAAGAACACCGAAATCAGGTGCATCCTTCACCATGGTTCGAGAGATTACTGCTAGGTATTGTTACAATTTGTACAGGAAGTCCCATGGTCAATTAGGTGCATCCAGGAAGGTTACATACTGTGGTGGTAGTACCGATATTGTGGTTGGATAAGCTCATGTTTCTACTATCTTTAGAAGCTATATATTCCAGTGCCATAGCAATGGAGGAAGCATTTCCTTGTATGAAGAATCTAGCAAGGGCTGTATGTTTTGGCGGATTGCTTGAGAATGCTTGGCATGTGAAGGCATGTATGTAGCATGAAGAAGGTATTTGGGGATTCTGATTGCTTGAAATCTTTTGACGGAAACGCTCCTTACAGGGCGTACATCAGGACCAACGGACCCCACACTCGTCCACACCACCCCCGCCCGCGTCACCCGCGAGCAAAGACGGACCCTATCCTCGCCCGCACCGCCCCCGCGCCTCTCGTCGCGCCCGTGCTCCATCTGCTTGCCTTTACCCTTGTCGAGGTCCGTGCCGTCGACAAGCTCCACACCGGCGACCTCCGCGCCATTCTGCGGCTTCGAGCTCCATGCCGGCGTCGAGCTCCACGTCGACAAGCCTCCATTTGTCCAAGCAACAAGCAGATGCTACGCTGAAAGCGCATGTTGCAATAGTATGTTTCAAGTGTTTAAGATATTTTCGATGTATATTGCAATTGTTCGTATATGAATGTTGTAAAACAAGATTGGGATGTTGCACATGTTGTAATGGCTATACACGTATGTTTTCGAGGTATGTTGTGTATGTTCAAAATGTTTTATCTGTTCCAGACGAATGTTGCAAAAGTTGATCTAGTATACATGCATGTTGCAATCATATGTTTCAAGTGTTTTCAGGTGTTTCGTACGTATGTTTGCAATGGTTTTCAAATGTTTTTCTGGCGTTTTCGTAAGTGTTTTAGACGCTTATTTCAAGTGTTTCATCTATCTTCCTTTGTATGTTGCAACTGTTGTATCTGTATGTTTCAAAAATAGATCGTGTGTTGCATATGAGATGTGCGTGGGAAGCGGCCGGTGGCGCGTATGACGTCTGGGGTAGCGTGGGCGAAATCCGGGGTGCGTGTGGGTCCACTACTGGTACGCTTCCTCGCGAGCCTGATGCGTTAGGCGCTCGTTCGCTCTCTCACGAGCTCGACGCGCTAGGCACTCGTTCGCTCCTGTGCGAGTAGCTTCTGGACACTAGCTAGTCCGATCTTTGATGGTCATGGACTTGGAAGGGGTCTGACATATGGGTCAGAACTCTCTACATAAGTATCATTAAAATACATTTGTTTTATGACATTTTTTTTTTGATCCCAAATTGCAAATTCTACTTCAGTCTATTATTGGCCCCATTCGCTTTGCTGAAAAAAAAAGCTAAAATACTGTTCCGGCTGATTTGTTGTGAGAAAAAAACACTGTTCCGGTTGAAAAAACAAGCTGAAAAGTATGGATTATAAGACAAGCGAACAAAGCCATTGTCGCTTAAGTGTTAACCATAGAAGCTAAGATATATAACAAAAGATAGATATTAGAGCATTCAAAGTTTCTCTTGAAGAACTTAAATCATGTGTTTTTAGATTTCATATTGTTATAACTATTCAAAACTATTAGCTGTACCAGTGGTGATGCTTTAAGTTTTTAATTTCCTTGTTAAATTAAGTAGATCATATCAAGTCTTATTAATAGTTGTTTTATTAGTTTAAAGACTAATATGAAGGATTTAATAGTCCTACTTGCAATTTTTACCTATCCAGCGAGAACACAAAGCAACCAACACAACTGCCGACGCAGGCAAATCTATATGTAACAGAACATGAGCTCAAATTGATCTCTATAAAAAATAAGGTGACAACTGACAACGCCGCCTCCGAGCTTCTGTTTCAAGACCACAAAATTAAAATAAAAGCAAAATATAACATCAAAACTAGAGGGATTCATAATAGTACAAGATCACAACTGATCTACCTGTCGAGAAATCAACATAAACTTCACAACTATTTCTACATCATCATTTTATCAGGAAAGGAAGTTGGAACAGCATCGTTACTACAGCAACATGGATCTTCGACCGAGAACTTCATGCTCAGGGATCTAACACCGTGACTTCCTCATAACTGTCCTCTTATCTTTCTTTGATCCTTTTGTACAAAAAGCATTTATACTCAGTTCAATGCCACGGCACTGGTAGCACGTGGATTTCCTAAAAGAGAAAAATGATGATACAACTGCGATACTTGTCCCAGTTAACTGCCACCCTTCTGCTTGAGGGTAATCTTGTCCCCTAAGCTGAGTGCAATTCCCTGGGTCTTGCTCCTTATTCGGATGTAACCACTAAGCTTGCCATCATGCTGCTTCTCAATGCTGATGTTCACCAAAGCATCCTCGTCAAACACACTCTTTGCATAAAGATTAGCAGCAAGGAAACCACATTCTCCGTCTAGTACAGACCTGATGTCAAACAAAGGGTTAGAAGTTCAGAGAACATGCAGATATTTTGGCAGAAACTCACCCAATTCACCATGTCAAACACATCCGCTCAAAGCTAAAAGGCAAAACTTCTACAAATTTCAGCTAACTTAATTAATTCATCATCTAATTGTACAAAAACATAAAGTCCATCTCTTGCTATTTTGGACAAATAAAACTATCCTAGCATGGGAGCAATAGTTGACCAGTTGCATGCAATAAGTGAAAAAGGTGGTATTGTCTCCAACTTGAGAAAGGTTTGTTTGGGAAGTTACATTTCTCCAAGGTCAGATGATTTTATTTGTACTTAGTCTACAAACAAAAACAACTTGGCATTGAGCTAGAAGTTAGATTGATAATAGATTAGCCTCCCAATTTAACACAGTAATTGAAGAATCTAACCTCTGAATATTTTCATATGCGCCATGCATGAGAGTTAACTAGTCATCATATTCATGATTATCGGCTTAAAAATGAAACAGTTCTACATGCCTAAGATAATATAGATAAAATTAAAGATATAGTGAAGTAGAAATAAATCCATCCACAGGTCAACATGAACGACCAGTTTTCTGAACGACTTACGGTGGTGTCAGACACTTCATGTTTGTCGACTTGATAATGTGATTCAAGAACTCCTTCTCATCCTGAATCACAGTATTCACTGCAACCTGATAAATGAGAAACAATAAATCTTAGCAAAAGAAGTCAAACCAATCACAAAGAAGGTTTTCCCAGACATAACATAAAGGAGTATGGCAGAAAACAATTAATGAATTCCAGATTCACCAGGGCAGGTCACTAACAATACACAAAGCAACTGAATAAATCAATTACAACATGGTGCACAAAAATATGGAACACCCATCCTATGTGTCACAGGGATATCTTCCTAAGAAAATTTTGGTAAAAACAGAAAAGGTTTCAAACTAAAACATTTTTTTTCTCATACATTGGCACAAAAGAAACTAATGTTGTGTCAATTTTGCATGAAAAATGACTAGAGAAATCAAACACTGAAAGAATTTTAGTATTATATCCACAATTGCTGACATGTTCTCCAAGAGCCCTATACATGTGTTTGAGTATTTGCGTTCATGAAATTTTACTTAGTTAAATGTTTTCATGCATAATTAATTAGGAATTTTCATGTTTTCTAAAAGACCGTTAAATAAAGTAGCTTTTGTTTCATCCTGCCATAGCCTTTTATAGTTCTTGGATTGGAGAAGGCCGCTGCTAGGAGATTACAGTTTAAGAACAGATAACATCTCGGCATCTTGCCAAAACAAAGATTTCACACAACTGTAATGTACAGAGAAGATTGT